TCTGTTGAGCTGGGATCCGGCCAGGACTCTGGGGGCAGGGGAGGCGGAGCAGGAGAGAGGGTGAAAGTGCTGGACCAAAGACCCATTTCCTGGATTGGGGGCAGACGGGGAGGCAGTCCCAACACTGCAAACATCTGCGGCACTTCAGTGCACTTGGTGTTTTGGAAACACCTAGAGAGAGGCCGATCCTGGGAGTGGAAAAAGTGGATTAAAAAGTGGGTCTCGGTGGTATAGACTTACCAGCATCCAGAGCTCTGTGTGGCCAGATCTCTGCGCACCGTGTGAGCCTGAGCAAGACGCCTAGCCTCTCTGATTCTGTTCTTTCACCTGGGGCCCGGAGGGATAATAATACCTATTCCTCAGAGTTTGGAGTATTCAATGAGGTTTGTGAAACCCGCATGAGAGGTCTGACTCCCAGCTCTCTCCCCCCATCCCCTCCAGAGCCTTGCCCTCCAGGCCGGGCTGGAAGTGAGCCCTCGGCCGGCTGGGCAGGGCCGGGACGGGGGGCACTCGGTCGCCCCTGGAGCCTGGGGGTCTGCCTCACATCTCCAGGCTTAAATAACCATGCGCCTTTGTTATTCCTCAGCAGCAAAGTGGTTCGTTACGCCTGATTGGTCTAATTGCTTTGAAATGGGATATATTATCTATAATTATAGAGCTCTAGGAGGAGCCGGACGGCCTCTGCTTTCATCTTGCCCAAGTGCACCCTCTTGTCGCGATCACATTAATTTAGGCCATTTGGGGGCGGGGGCTCTCCCTTCCCCAGATCCTAGCCGCCCCCCGACCCCTCCAGAATTTGAAGACACAAGGAAGCCGGTGGGAGAGGGCAGGGAGGGGCCCCGAGCCCCGTGTCACACAGTCTGTTTCTCCTTGGTGCCTGGTAAAATCCACCGCACAGATCTGAGGCACACATCGGGGGCCCTTAGGGGAGGCATTCGAGAGGAGAAAACACTTCAGAAGAAGTTATTTTGATGTGGCAATAAGGATGGGTTCCCAAGCTCTCAGGGGGCAGAAGAGTCCTGTTGAGGTCCTGGGATGCAGAACGCGCCTTGCTTGGGATCTGTGCTGCTGATCTTCTGTAGCTCGGTTTCTCATGTCTTAGGGGGCTTTCTCTGGAAAGCTGTGAAATTCTCCCTGAGCGAGCGGCTCCCAGGCAGCTTCTCAAACCTGACTCCCGTCCCTCCACTCCTAGGCCACAGAGGCCAACCGATGAGCTGGCGGGGTCGGGAGGGCCCTCGAAGGTTAGCAGATCCCAGGACAACGCTTTCTGTCTCTCTCAACCCCCCACTCCCACCCCGACACAGAATACCTCTTCTCGGCCCTCTCTGCTGCCCTCCTGGTGATTGGTGAATTCCCACCAAAATAAATCGTTCCGGGTAATCGGTTTTCATAGCACATTCATTCTATTAAAGAGGATTGTTTGGGGCTCCTAATTGCCGGGGGATCCCACTGAGCTGCACATTTTAAAAAATGCACAAGGGATTCCTGGGCCCAGGCCACAAAATGCATTGGAAAAGGGGAGGGAGACGTAAACAAAAACCCAAGGGAGTTGACAACGAATGCTGAAGCGACAGGCCAGCCAGTAGAGGCTGCGGTCCTGGGGCAGCGCTCAAAGAGCGAGCAGTTCTTAAGACGAGGTCGTTCTAAAAGTTAATTTTTGTCAAAGAGGGACAAATGTCTAGAAAGCACACCGCCCTGCTCCGGCTGTGGCACACAGCCTTAAAACGAGAGCTGGAGGTGGGGAGGGAAAAAAACGCAGCAGGAGTTGAGTTGCCCAGAAAGTGGTTGCAGGAGAAGCTGTGCTTAGGATGCGAGGTGCAGAGCGCTTTGTTGGGGGCGGCAGTGCTTTAGGACGAGGGAGACAGGGGAAGGGAGGGGGCCGGCGAGGATGCGGGAGCGCCAGGGCTGAGCTTTATCTGCCGCGGGCCAGCCCTGTGCTTGCCAGGCATGAATTACAACCGCGATCCGGCTGTAGTGGCCGCGCCGGGAACCGCGGGGCAGAAGCGCCCGGGTTGGTGCTGGCGGCGAGATAACAGGCGCAGCCCCCCGCCCTGCAGCTCCTGAGCCCAGCAGCCCGGAAATCGGTAAAGGCCCGGAGAAAACCAAGTCAGAGATGCGCCCTCTCACTGCTCCCCAACGCGTGCGGTGCTCCCACGGGAAAAAGCCACAGGCACCAGGAGAAAAGCACTTTATTTCTTTCTTCCAGCTCCCTTCTCCGGGCCTCCCGCAGTAGCCCAGGGGCGAGGCCCGGCCGGACCTCCGAGCCCTTGGACACGCGCTCCAGGCTGAGCCCTGCGCTGGGCACACGCGTCCTCTCCACCGTGACGCTGGCACCCCGAAGGATGCGGATGCGGCGGGGTTCCAGGACGGGCTCGGGAAGCAGCTCGGGGACAGGGGGCGCAGGCAGTTTGCTCCCTGGAGGCGAGGGCGCGACTTCAAGGGCCTCTGCGCCGGCTGCAGCCTTTGATCCGGCCGCCGCTGGCGCCTAAAACCAACATCCTCGTCTGCCTATTAGGCGCGCTGAGGGATCGTGACAGATTGTTTATCCCCGCAATTAGCGATGCGGCCCTTCTCAGGCCGCCCGGCCCCGGCCCGCTCCGGTCGCCCGCGACCGCTGTGAGTTTTGCCAGAGATCCCTCCGTGCTGCGCGGCTCCACAGGGTTCGAGCCCCCACCCTAGACCCTAAACACTGGCGGACTCCAAAAAGGTCCAGAGCCCCCCAGAACTTGTCCGCACAGTGTCAGGGATGTAGCTTGGCCGATGCGCACTTTTGCGGAGAGAAAGTTCTTAATTTCATCAGCTCCTCAAAGTGAGCTGGGAGCCAAACATTTTGAGTTGCAGGACAACGGCGAGCAAAGCTAAGCCCCGACCGAAAGACACACTAGTCGCTTTTAAAATATTGCCACTTAAAAGCCCCAGGGCCTGCTTCCTCCTCGCCTTTCACCCGGCAGAGTGCAAAGTGAGCTTCTGGCTGAGGGGCTGGCGCAGTTATTCCGGCCACAGTTTAATTAGAACTGCGAGGGAGAGAAGTTCGTAGTCCCCGCTGAGCTGCGAACGGGGTGTTCCGCCTACAGTCTCCCTGAGCTGCACCACGCTTGGCGTTAACATGAAGCGGCACAGCCTTCTGCCTGGGTATCCCCGGGTAAACTTCGGGGGGCCCCAGGGTACCGCGTGTCCAACGCGGCAGACGCGCGCCAGAGGCCCCAAACCCTGCCCAGCGCCCAAGCGGCAGTCCCCTCCGATCGATCGCAAGAAACCAGGAGAGGCGGTGTAAATCTCACAGATGCGAGTACGCGCGAACCCGCCCCGAGGCCTCCACACAGCTAGGGGCCTGGCGTCCGCAGCCCGACCCCTCCCGCCAGACCCCGGACGCCGTCCGGGTAATAAAGTTCCTGGTCCAGTAATTCATTTTCCTTAATCTGGACGTCCCTAATCTACAGCTTTTATTGCGCCCAGTTAAAAGGCGAGGGAATTCGCTGTCCCTGCGCGCTTGGATAATTACCCCTAAACGGCCACGGCAGCCCCTTGTGTTTCCTGGAGATTAGAACCCTGAGGCCCTCAAGGGCCGGACCGGTGAGCCGCCAATCACCTCGCCAGCGCCCCGGGAGCCGCCGGCCTGGGCCGGGATTAGAGACCATAAAGGACGAGGCACAGAAAGAGCCAGGACCCGACCCGAGTGTGCAGGTTTCTTACGTCTGCCCGACTCCAACTCCTTTTTCCTTTTTCAACAGCAAAAATAAAATCACGTTTCCTTCGAAACTGGCAAAAGTTCCCAAGCCGAACCGTAGGATCCACTCCCAAGAGCCATCCCCGCTCGCCTGCCCCCCACCAATGCTCCTCTCCCCCGGGCGACTAGCGGCCCCGAGATCCGAGCGTATTGTTGTTTCCTCGGACGCCTCGTCTGAGGTCACCGTAAGGCCAAATCTGTATTTTGTTGACGTTTCTATTGATTTTATTTCAGTAAATGCTCTATCAAAAGGATCCGGTTGCTCCTTTCCCAGCCGGTCGCTGGTAGAGGCGTGACGCTCCCCAGAAAAGTTGGGGAGACAGCGTGGGGGTTAAAGACAGGTCCTGTAAATCAATACTAGATCGCAACGCTGTTAGCTCTCCCTGCACCCACGGAACCGACAGCAGCCCGGCTTCCTCCGGCAAACTTTAATCCCACTCCTGGGCAGACACAAAGGCCCACTGCTGGGAAAAATTGTGAAGACCGAAACAAGAACAAAATTGCGAGTTGTAAAAAAGTGTATTATTATGTCTTTCTATTAGGATAGATAACCGTGCGCTTTTTTTTTCTTTTTTTTCTTTTTTTTTTTTTAACCGAGAAAAGAAAGTTGTAAGAAATGAGCACCATGGAAAGGGGTGCAAATCGTGGAGAACGTAGCAGAGAGAAAAAGCAAGACTGAAGAAGACCGGGAGAGACACGGTGACGGAGAGAAATAAAAGTGAAGGAGAAAGGGAGGACGGGGCAGGGGCCGAAGAGAAGGGGAGGAAGGGGGTGACAGAAGGGACAGGATTAAGTCCCCCAGGAACCAGGAAGAGGGAGATGCACGGGGACCGGGCCGGCCGAGGCCGCCGGGCCCTAGCGCGGAGCGGAGTCTCAGGGCACCCCCTCCCCTACTCTGCGCCCCCAGGCCGCCCCAGCCCCGCGCTCCCCCAGGCCCAGCGCGCCTCGGGGCTAGTCCCCAAGAGCGCGACCCAATCGAGCGCTCTGGGCCCGCCCCCTCGCGCGCTGATTGGCCGCCGCCGCGCTGGCCTCGCCTTATTAGCAAGTTCTCTGGGGAGCAGCGCCGGACCCGGAGCCGGCGAGTGCGCCCGGGGAGCTCGGCCTGCGCTGGGCGGCGGCGGCGGGG